AATCCAACCACTAAAATAGGCTCTAACATGGGTGGTGAATTCACCTACCCCAAAATGGGATCCCATTGGTTTTGACCCACAGCCATGTCACAAGAGCCCGGCAAGTAGAACCCCGCTATTGGCCAACTATTGGGTCATCCAGGTACGAAGATTCGGAAAATGGGTGCGCTGTTGGGCCCCAGAGAAAAACAACATAAACCCAAAAAGACTTGAAAACAAACAATTAAACTAACAAACAAACAAACAAACAAACAAACAAACAAACAAACAAACAAACAAACAAACAAACAAACAAAAACATAATAATAATAATAATAATAATAATAATAAAATATAATAATAATAATCCGCCGACCCTCTGCCTCCCGTCCCAGCCTCCTGCAGAGGGGACCGGCGTGGGATGCAACTGGAAGTGATTGGAATCAATGATAGTCCCTGAGGGGACACGCCCGAACCCACAAAAAGTGGATTCCCGGGACCGGTCCCGGGACCGGTCCTGGGACCAGTCCTGGGACCAGTCCTGGGACCGGTCCTGGGACTGGTCCTCCAGTCCCAGGACCGGGGTTTGGTCCTAGGACCAGTGCTGGGACCAGTGCTGGGACCAGTCCCAGGACCGGCGGTTTGGGACCGGTCCTGGGACTGGTCCTGGGACCTGACCGCTGGTATTGGGTCCCAATTCAAACTGCTGCGCTGCCACCTCAAACCGCTCCAGACACCTTTCCGGACTGGCACCCAGGACACTGGACAGGGTCCCAGGTCGTCACTCCCTGCGACCAAACCGGCCCGTGCGGCTATTGACGTCCTTGTGGTAGTAGAGGATCCCTGGATCTATTCTGCAAGAGAGTCCAATACGTCAAGTCAAACCGCGCCAGACTGGGACCAGCCTGCTGCCGGCGACCGGTCCAGGGCAACTTCGGGAGGGCCAGTTTCAGGGCGACCCCGGGAGAGGCGACTGCTCCCGGCCAACTCGAAGTGACTTGGGCGCAAGCCGGCCCAAGCGGTAATTAACGGACTAGCTGCCCTATTTCTGACTTTTCCGTTAATCCTTGTTTGTGGTCAACTTCGGGAGGGCCAGTTTCAGGGCGACCCCGGGAGAGGCGACTGCTCCCGGGCCAACTCGAAGTGACTTGGGCGCAAGCCGGCCCAAGCGGTAATTGACGGACTAGCTGCCCTATTTCTGACTTTTCCGTTAATCCTTGCTTGTGGTCGTAGAGGATCTTATAAGTGGTCCCTGGGTTTGCGGACGTGTTTCAGGACCGGTCCTTGTGACTTTTCCCTTAATGCGCCGAGGGTCGGCGGCAGCAGGCGGGAGCCTGGTTAATAATAATAATAATAATAATAATAATAATAATAATAATAATAATAAACATACATAATAAATAATAAATAATAAATAATAATACTCCTAGTAATAATAATACTAACATGTGATTGTCTTTTGGCTTCCCAGAAGAAAAACAAAATAAGAAAAAAGAAACAAACAACTAACAGCAAGGGTCGCCTCAAAAAAAGAACCATACCCGTTTGGCACAATCATGTCGACCCCGGTCCATAAAACTTCTTCATGAAGGGGGGCTGCCTCCAAGAGTGATCCGCATTCCTAATGGGTTGCACGGTTCAGGGGTTCATTCGTATCATTCATGAACTGGGTCCTCATTGAATGAATGGGCTACGCGTTTGGAGTTGGCTCAAGAGAGCAGTCTTCCACGAATTTTGGTTGAGTCTATTTGTGCATGGGTCAAAATCCAAATCGTACCCCCAGTGAACATCCCACTCCCCACTAAAATAGGTTCTAAAATGGGTGATGCACCTACCCCAAAATGGGATCCCATTGGTTTTGACACAGCCATTTGGAAAAAAAGAGATGCCCCTTTTGATCAAGGCCATTTAGCAGGTATGCGCCTTGGGGCTGTGGATGGACGAAATCCACCTAAGAAACCATGGGACACCATTGTGCGTTGGGATTTACAGAGGAATCATCCTTCCAGGGATTCTTAGGCGGTGCAGGATTTCGTCCATCCACAGTGTTGAGGTTATGCACCACTTGTGTGGGAAGGGGTATATCCTGACTTTCAAGCGTATATTGGTGGCGTACAAACGTCCAGACCTCCGAAAAATCATACCGGAAAGTTCCGTTGATTTGAGCGGTCTTGGTCTTGGTCGCTTCCTGTGCACCCCGCAAACCCGGAATAAACAAACCGGGCTCCATGACGAGTTCCTGAGTGCGGATCAATCCCACTTAGGGAGGTCCGTTTGCCTTGGGACCTGCTGATCCCTAGGGTTCAAGTTCCACTGAAAGAATAGCCCAAGGGGACCCAGCGCGGATGAGTTACTCCTAACCGGCAAAAGAATGGTGGTTTTTGTTCACCCCCTTGGCTTCACTGGGTTGAACCCCAGATTACAAGCCTGGTAAGGGGAAGCCGAGCCGAGCCTAGCCTCCTGAACGGCAAAGAGCTGGCGCTCGCTTTTTGTTCACCAAAGGCTTTGTGTTGATGGTTTGAACCCCAGGAGCTTGGCATGACATAAGTTATGTGAGATTCCCTTCAACTACTGTGGATGGTTGCGAAATCCAGAAATCGCACCACCGTTCAGAAACCCTGGTTTCTGATTCGATTCTTCTGTAAATACCAACAAATTGTGTTTTCACCCATGGTTTCAAAGTGGTGCAGGATTTCGTCCATCCACAGCACCAACCAAAAGATGGTGCTGCTCAGAGAAATTCCCTTCAACTGCCAACCAAAAGATGTGGATATTCTCAGTGCTTCCTTCAAATACCAACCAAAAGATGGCGCTAGCCTTAGTATTCCCAGAAACAAGCTCAAAATGGGCTGAACACCCCCCCCCCCCCCCGATTTGCTAAATTCACGTGGAGCCCGGGTTCCTAGTTCTTCCCAGTGGTCCCCAGGACACACAGAGACAAAACACATGATATGCCCCACACGGGGCTCAAGAAATTCCAGGACACCGCGAGCTGAGTCTTCCCTTCGTGTTGTTTTCCGTCCGAGTCGCGATGGTGGACTCCAGGTCGTGCAGCGCGCTGTGCACCCCCGACCACCGCTGCTCGCTGAGCGACATGACCTAAGAGCCCGTGTTTACATCGGAAACATAGCAGGGATCCTTACAGTTGCGAAGTTGAGTAAACCAACAGGGGAGAATAAAACATATTCATTTCACCAAATGGAAGTCTCTATTGGTTCTCTCTTGGCTTTTCCTTTAACAGGGATCCTTACATTATAATCCCCCCGACCATAGGTGGGGGGGAGGTGGGAAGTGAAGGAGGTATGGGGAGTCGGGGGAGGTGGGGGTGGGCAGGGGAGGTTGGGGAGGTGCATTATACACCAAATGGTAGTTTCCAACTTTATTTTGGTGGAAAAAGCAGCATGTTTCAAATGGTTGCAGAATGTATCTTTTAAGGAGCCCTGCGTAGGTGACCCTGTTTGCCCCAGTGGGTTGCAGTTACCTAGTAGGTAGCCCTTCCACTTTCTTCTTGGCTCTTTTTCAAAAGGTGACTCCCTTGGCGACCTTGGTGACCTACAAAAGATTTACCTGGAGTCTCCATGACCCGTTAAAAATGGTTGGTACCATCAACCCTAGGGTTCAACTCCCATTGAAAGAATGGCAAGCAAGTGGTTAGCCACCCGTTATAGCCCGCTTATAATGGGGTTAACCCAGTCATTTGTAGAGAACGGTCACGCTTGTCAATGAGTTGCTGACCAAGGTAAAGGTACTGCATCCCTGAAGGCAAGCACTTGACATTGGGGGACCCCTGGTCACCTAGAAGCAAATTTGCCCCATGTGGGAAATAGCCCTTACGATACCAAGGTATCCCATGAGAATGCTATCACCACTCGAACCCAATTTCCGACCCACCCTTGGGCTTCTGGATGGGTCCCTCGATTAGCCATGGATCTTCCAAAGTGAGTATTTGCCTTTTCGTGACAAGCTGCTTTTTCAGAGAAACGACCCTGTTTGCGACTCCAAGCACTTTTCACGTTTTTCGATTACTCTACGGCGACTGTTCCCGAGCAAATGGCGACAATCCCCGACCAAACGGCAAGTTTCCCCGACCATGTTTCCAACAAAATGTGAATCGACACTTTGCAGTGAAAAAGAGATGTTTTCGACCAAAGGACTGAGATTTGTGCGTTTTCAGCCAACGGGGGGACACATGCACACCTGGAGTATCTGTTTAGGTATTCAAGTGTCCCATGCAAATTTAGTCGCACTTGGCCAGTGACCAACTAGGTCCTCCAGTAGTTTGAGCTTAGGATCAGGGTACCCTTTTTTCGGTAGTCTATTTTAGTAGGGGAACCCTCCCCCAAAAAAGGGGTTAAAAAGGGCACCTAGCTCGGGGACCTAGCCAACCAACAAAAATGGGTGCCCAAAATGGAACCCTGGCAAATGGAACCAAGGACTAAAAACTGTGGTCTCCTGGTGGCTTAATTTTGACCCACACCCACATCACAGTTGCTCATATCACAGTCTCAGTTGTTCAGTGACCCTGGAAAAAAAAAGGGAACCCTTTTTGGGGCTTGGACCATTTTTAGTGGGGCAGCCACCCAAAAAAGGGGGAAAAATCATTGGTGCCCCTGAACAACAGTTCGCAGTTCCTTCTTTCCTCAAGTTGGCACGCAGCTCGGACAAAGATACGTACCCCTGGGGTTCAAACAACCATTAAAACAATGGTTGGGTTCATATAACCACCATTGTTTACCTAAGGATTGTCATCATCTAAATTGGGTCAACCTTTGTTTTAATGGGGGTTGAACCCCAGGGCTTAGGTCCCGCTTTTTGATTGTCCCATCGGCCTCTGATCCGCAGTTGGATGCAGCGGGTGAAGGTTGCTGTGGATAGTGTTGCCTTTGGAGCATCGGTAACAAGCCTCGAGGGGGTTGGAAAGCCATGAGAAAACACAAGGGAAAGGGACCAAGTTCGAACCAAAGGCTGGCAAACGGCAACCAAAAGGAAGGGTCGCACGGCGAAAGACCGGTCACAGAAAAGGCAACAAAGCGAACAAACCGTGCATCAGTTCTTTTCCTGGTCGAATGGAATATGGTACGGTTCGCGCCCCGCTACGCCGGGCGCTGCAGCGCGACACCTCTCAGCATGGCATACTTGGAGTGAAGGCACCACTTCTTGCCTCTGCGGCATGCAAAGTGGCGCCGCACGTTGTGCTGGTCCTCGTGGCTTCCCCCGGACTCCAAGATCTTGTGCTGATTGACAGAGCGCAGTTCCCCAAAAGCGATGGCCCCAAGCTGAGACTTTCCGATGGTGAAGTTCTGCAAAAGCTGGCCTAACGTGTCGGGATTGCAGGCTGTGGGAGTGGCCTGAGCATAGCATCCAAAGCTCGGGTAGTCATGGTTCTCAGGCCTCCACGCAGCAGGCCGGATCATGTTCTCATAGGACATGCGGCGCATTCGATCCGGGGTGGTGCCGTGTATGTACATGACAGCGTGATGGGAAGCTGTGCCGGATCCAGCTTCCGGGTGCCCGCCAGCGACCGGCCAGGGGTGTGGTCGGGGAAACCAAGTGGTTGCGAACACCATGTCGTCCCAGGAGATGGTAGAAGCTGGGTTCGAACGCTATGGGCTCATCCATGTCCATGTTTCCCAGTTCCCAGCATTCTGCGAGGAGGTCGGCATGTGAAGGTGGCAAGGCAGGGTCCAAGTTCGCCAAAATGGCCTTGGTCTGTTCCATTCTGGAGATGTCCAAGGCTGGAAGCGGGTCCAGCTCCCCCAACTCCCTGGGCGTGGGAACTCGCATTGGGTCAGTCCTGGCTGTGTCCATGACGCTTCGCCATAGATCAAGCCACCGGTTGTCGGAGTTTGTGTTGAGCTCTGCCTCCGACGGAGGGGGATCCAGGTCTTCAATGTCATCCAAGGTGGGGGGAGGGTTGGGAAGGTGCAGGGCGGGGAGGGGGGGTTGGGAAGCCGCCGCGGGTGCAGGGGTAGGGGGCATGCTGGCGTTGTTGCGGCCAGTGCGGGGTGGGGGGTGCGGTTGTTGCCCAGGTTGCTGCTGTGGCCAGGACTGTCGCTTGTCCTGACTGCTCCAGTTGCCTGTGTTGCTGGTGCTGCGGCGGCGCTTGCCCCAGTGGCTTGTACTGTGGCTCTGCGGTGGGTGTCCCCACGATTGGTTCCACCAGCGTGGAGAGGACCATTGAGACTTGTCGGTGTCCCATCCGGAAGTGCGCCGGGAAGTGGAACCTTCGGAGGTGTGGGTTTGCGGGGCTCGATGTGGAGCCGTGGTCCTGGGTGCGGGGGAGTGTCGTTGGGGGGACCTGCGCCGGGGGGAGCGTGAGCGGAGGGAGATGGGGTTGCGGTGCGATCGCCTGGAGCGGTGGTGGGGCCGTGAGGGGGAATGTGACTGGCTGGAGCTGCGTGTCCGCCGGGTGGTGTGTCGCCGTGGCGACTTGTCGTGTCCACGGTGATGACTGGTGTGGGAGTGTGAGCGGCGGTGTCGTCTGTGACGGGAACGGGATCTGCGGGAGTGGGACTGGGGGTGAGTGTGCGTGGGATGTGGGTTGGTCGAGGAAGCGGCGGCAGGAGTCGTAGCAGCTGCATCGGCTGCGCGTGCCGGCTGAGGCTCGGGCAATGAAGATGGCATGCTGCTCTGAGCCATGAAGGGCATCAGGGCGCCGGACGTCGTGTTGCCAAAGTTAGGAAGGCCACCGTAGGGCATCACGGACATCGGGTTGCCAAAGTTCGGGAGGCCACCATAGGGCATCATGGAAAACGGTGCAAAGGGCGTGGTCTGTGGGTTGGGTGAAGGTACGAGGCTCATGGGCTGCATCATCTGGGGTGACAACTGCAGGTTCGGTCCACCGCTGCCTGGTGAGCCGGACACGGTGCCGGCCGCAATGCTTTGCAGGAGCGAATGCATCATGTCATAGAGCTGGTGTCCTGCCATCTCAAAAGGGAGAGAGAGGGTTGGAAAGGGGTGGAAACAAAAGCGACTACGGCGTGATTCAGTCAAGACCTGGACCTTGAAAATGCTGCCTTGTCGATCCAATTCATGTCAAAGCAAGGCATCGCATCAAATCAAGTCATCACGTGAACGTGAAAGTGAATTGAACTGATCTGAGTCAGCGCAGTGCGTGAATCAATGAACTGCAAAGTCGGTGTCTGACCGGCTTGTCACTCGCGCATGAAGCTTCCGGAGCCTGATACCTCATGAGAGCTGCCTTGTTCAAACTGCAGGCAGTGCAAGCAGTGCAATGCGAATGCGAATGGTACCTCGCCTGCAAATTCGCTGCCTTGATCATGGTCAATCGCGCTGAACTGCAGCTTGAATTTGAACGTATGAACGGTCTTCCCCTTGCAGGGGGCTCCCGCATGTGGCGAGTCCAGCCCACAGCGCCATGTCGGACAGGCCGTGGGTAAACACACTTATCTCGAGAGGCTTCACTAGCCGAGATGAAAACCGCAGTCAGTAAAAATGCTTGAATGCAAATGCAAAGCAACAGGTCACAACATCGACACCGAACAGGAAGCAACAGCGACAAACAGAAACCGCAAAAGGAAACAGGAAAGAGGGACCGAAAGGACGTTCAGAACATCACGACTGTCTCAAATTGCAGGTACGTCCAGAAGGCGTCCCTTCCGGATTTCACGACCAAACCATCACTGTCTTCGTTGGGCAGTGAGTGATGGCGGTCCACTGCCCCCCTGCTGCTTAAAGTTTTTGCGTCCGTGCTCCAGGACGGTTCACACACACACACACGCAGACAAATGCATACACACACAGACACATGCACACAAACACGCACAGACACACACACACACACAGACACCCAAGCACACCCAAGACACACAGACACACACACACAAACACACAGTCACAAACACGCACAAACACACACACACACACACACACACACACACACACACACACACACACACACACACACACACACACACACACACACACACACAAACAGACACACAAACACATTCAGAAGCACACGCAAAGACTCACAAACACAAACACAAACACAAACACAGACACACACACACACAAACACAAACACACACAGACGCACACGCACGCGCACACAAACACAGCAAACACACACACACACA